TTAGTGCAAATCCTTCTCTGTAACAATAATAACATTTACTTGACTTACATTTAAAGCCATTGTGAATAAATTTGAAATAAAAAAAAAAGTATTATGTTACCAACTTCCCATGTGGAACGGGTTTTAAAAAAAACCCTGACTAACAGACCTGGATACAAATAAATTCGCTTTTTGTACGGTAGGCCCCTACGCCCTGGTATTCCACCTTGTTGATATGGTTACTCTATTACAGCTTTGCTACCTTAGCATTGGCATAATGCAGGCTCTTCAAGCCAAGCCCCAGGCTCCCCCCAGTCCAAAAGTGCCCTCTTACTAATACAAGAGAGCTTTGATATTACGGTCCAGTAGAAAACACCAATTCCCGGATTTTCATCTCGTAAATGATTGACTTAAGCATGCTTGTAATGGTGTAGCTTCAATACAAAGCCAAATCATTAAAGCACTAAACTTAAAAAGTATGCCTAACTGATGCACACATATTAAACTGTATTTTAATTTGATTTATCCATTTTAACTTTGGTATAGTGCACTGAACTTGGAATAGGAAATGCACAATATACGTTTAGGTTATTATTACAAAGTGAAGCATAGATATTTTCTAAGTTGTTTATGAAAATAGTCCACTCAATTAACATCCAATGCTTTTTTAAAAATTAAAAATAAATGTATAAAATATTCATTGTGTTGGGTTTAGCAATAACTATAGTTTGGCCAAGTCCAAAACAATTATTGTTCAAAAACGCACAATCTCAATTGGAAATGAGGATAGCAACAAGACAAGTGGGAGTGACGGGTAGGACAAATGCATTGTACAAACTACTGTGGTGAAAAAATACATAAAGAGTGATAAAATAATGTCAACAAAATAATAATGTAAATTAGGCATCTAAACATATATAAGGCAATTTTCTGAAAACTTCGTTCCTGGAGCCCCATTTACGCCTGACATTTGATGATACTGGGTAAACTATTTAAAAAAATAAGTAGAAAGAGTTCTTAAAAACATCATACATTTTTGACAACTCTATAATCATATAAATATCAAAAGGTTACAGAATCTGAGGATTTGCTTCTAGACTCCCATAGACCTAACCTGGGTTCCAGGCCCTAATTTTAGGTTACTCACTCTTTATTGCACTTAGTGCGCGCCATACCTAATTTAATTGGCGCCCCATACTCGATTTATTTTTTTTCGAATTAGGGCCTGGGCAAACGATTCATGCGTGCATAGAATAGAAAAAATACTATTGACTATGATGCGTGCAATTTCCCACATCAAATTTGATGTGGGATATCGTATGCATGACTGATTTTGTAAATCACGTGATTGGCTTCATGCATAATATTAATCTACTAGTCTAGGCTAGGCCTACTACCTGACTCCAGGCGAGGCCTGAGCCATCCTACTGGAAAGTTAAAGTTTTGTTGTATTTGTATGGTATGTCATCTAGTCTAAGCTTAATTGTTTTTGCCATTGCCAACATTAGTCT